AGTGCACAATCCAAAATTTATTGCACAAATAAACAATTAAAACAGGGACAATATGCAGTGTATAAATAGTAAAATATACTAGGCACAAAGCCTAAATAAAACACTGCAGAGGAAACAAGAAAAAGTACCAGATACAATCCTTTGATCTAGCAGCAATTGCGTTTCATCTCCAGCCGGAGTCGTCCTCAGTGCACCATCAACATAGGCCTCATCCGACCTCCAGCAAGCGCACCCATCCCCTCGAGATAACTAGGCCACATCCGGCCACACCCCAAGGTGAACTGGAATCCCCCAAGCCAAAACAAGAAACCCACCTCGACCGATTCCCGACTGCAGCGCACCAGGACACTCACATTGCTGAGCGCACTGCCAACAGGAACAGGTGATAGCCTCAGCCCGGCCCCCTGAGAACCTCTGGTAAGAAACAGAAACAGAATGTGTAACATGTCCAGATTCCAGAGCACCCTCAGATTGAAGAGCACCCCATACAACACCGAACCCATATCAATCCACCCAGAGATGACAAAACCCCTGGTACGTCCAAGAGGCGGGACAGCCGACCCCGTACGAGGAGGACCACACCCCCACCATGTAACTGGTGCCAGACCACTGAACCTCCCTTTCCGGGGGGGGGGGAGGGCCGTAACCGCGGTGAGAAATCCATTCGGAGACCAGCAGGGTAAACCTGAAGGAACCACCACCCTGACTCCCAAAATTCGAGCCCCTGAACCATTGGCGCAGGCACGCCAAGCCTGGCGGCGACCGTAGCCATCCCAAACCAGAATAAATGCCCCTCGAACACCCCACCAACTTTCAGGCAATTGATGGAAACCTGCAGTGCCTCCGATCAGAACGGAATTTGTCAGGCCATCCTGGGAACCCGATACACCGTGTTAGGAGCCCAACCATTACCCCGTGCATTCCATCTACCTTAGGAGAAAGCGGAAAAGCCAGGGCACGTCGACCCTTAAACATCCAAGAATCGCACAGATTCCATCGACGCATCAGCCACACCGCAACTGACTTACCCGTCCCAACGACAACAGCAGTCGAGCGGCGAAACCTGAAATAAGTCCGTCCACCAAAACACCCCACCACTTGCCGACAACTGTAACCTGAACAGGAAGCCGAGCCCTGCCAATCACAGAAATCACCCCTAGCGCCCTCAACAGATGGTACCAAACATGTAGATGAGCAGTCCACTCCCGGAACCTACAAGGAACGTCCCCATCCGTCCCGATCACTCCCACCATACTGGAGTGGGCCCCACGCCGCCTCATAGGGCGACCCACGGACCAGCTTCATCAGACCGTTGGACCAGGCGACCACCTCCACTGTCCTAACATTGACCCCGTGACACCTCTGACCGAAGTATGCCCAATAATGACCAAGATAGAGCGTCGGCCACCACATCGGGAATACCCGGACACAAAAAACCTAAGACCAGCCGCCCTAGATTCAAACAGCGCCAAGCCAGGCGCTGCCACCAGAGTAACCCTGGGGTAAAGTGTACTGTTACATGACAAGACAGCCCGCACTGCCCCACGATGGTCCCAAAGGAAAAACCCCACCTACCTGTTCTAGAGCCGGGCACCCCATGCCTACCATGCCACCAGAAAGGGGAAGCTCCAAGAACCCCAAAGTCCGCCAGAAAACCGATCCTTGCCAGTGTAATGGGCAAGAGTCAGCACACCATTGAGAGCCCAAATTGGCCCAAAACCCCCCAAAACCTACGGATATAGCCTGGGCCACGGAACTCCGAAACTCAAAACTACCCCAGGAAAAACACTGTAGCAGCAGAGTGCGGACATGCTGCACCGACGGCCCTACGCATAAATGACATCGGGAGCAACCTACATGAAGGCACAGAACCACCCAATCCTGACCGTCGGGAACACAACCTGGAAACAATAAACCCGACGGGCATACCGGCAGCAGCCGTAAAACTGACTCCACAGCCACCTTTGTCAGCAAGGCCCTGCAACCCCACCCATGCAGCCCGCTGCGCCGAGCCATCATCCCAAACCTAGCCCCTGGAAGGAAACGACAACTGAGCAAATAAGTAATCTGGAGATACTAACCCTGCTCCTCCTCCTTGGGCACCACAGCGAACTCCAGGGGTACCCTAAACGACTGGGAAGTAAACTTATAAGCGTGCTTGGTAAACTGGACCCACATCACCTGATGGAGCTCCCACATAAACTGAGGGTCCCCATCCCGACCGATTGCAGAGAGGAAGGAAAAACACGCTATGCTGAGGGGCTAGGTGAGCCCCAAAGAAAACCAGCGGCAAAACCCATCCGGCCCCAGGCCAAGAAGGGTCGCACTGCCAACCGTTGACGAATGTGCAAAACGTACCTCCACCAACCCAGCACAGGGACGATACGCGTCCCGAGAGTGTCCTGACCGCTGAACCCGCAGTGCCGACTTGGGGAGCCCTGTCCGATATGCGCCCTGGGGTGCATCCGACCACAGCATGCTCCCCACGACCCTCCCCGAGCCCCTAATGTCCCCCTTAGTCAAGGGACCCCCGTGGCAGGAGGGAACATCCTTCAATAAAAAACCCCATTCTCCATCTGCTCCCTAGCGTTACGCGCAAGCCAAGCGGGCCACATGAGCTCAGCAGCCCATAGTCACGTGAACCTGGGAGGCATCGCCGGCGCTATCAGCTGCGCCAGATGCTGCGGGAAAGCCCACCTAAATGTATGATACATACTGAAAAAGGAAAGGGGGTACCTAAATTTTGTTTTATTGTGGATTCCCCATATATTTTTAATTTTTTAAATTTTTTTTATATATTTAATTCTTCCCCTTGTACTTGACGTTGGATTCCTTTATTTTTTTGTCCAATAGGTAATTTACCTTGTATTTCTGTCCTGTAATTTTTTATTTTTTTTTTAGGAAGAAAGGAAGAAATAACATACGCACGCGAAGCGCTAAAAGAAGGGAAATGTACTCCCCGGACGCAGCCTGGCACTCCAAGCCCGGCAATGCGCTCACAGAAGGATGAGGCAAAGAAACAGCAGTTCCAGCATCCACAGAAGACATCAGCTGTGATCCAGGCGCCACCTGCTGGACAGATCCATGAACTGCAGCAGCATGCTGAGAAGAAGCAGCAGAGAAGATGAGCCCCCGCCCCAGAGGAGATGGCCGAGGTAAGTGACCTGGGGGGAGTTGGGGGGTCAGGCAAGGTAGAGGGGCAAGGTAGAGGGGGGGGGAGAAGAGAAAAACAGGAAATAGGAGGGGGGACCAGGGGGCCCAGGCAAGGGAAAGCTGGGCCCCCTGGAAGAAAATAGTAAAGCCATCCAGATAGGGAGGGAGGGAGGGAGGGAGGGAAGGGAGACAGAGCCCTGGGAGCCTTCCTCACTGGCAGAGGAGGCTCCCGACGGGCAAGGGGACCCCCCCAGCGGCCCATGAGGCCCCACTCACCTCCCCGCCGGCCGCGGGGGACCTGGACAGTTGCCGGGCGGCCACCTGCCGCCCGGATCGCGGGATCCGCCGCCCACCGCCCCCGGCCCGCAATCCAGCACTGGCGGCCGGGCGGATGGTGTGGAGGGGGGGGGAGAGGAGGAGGCCGCGCGGCAGCCGCACCAGGAGGCCGCGCGGCAGTTGTAGGCCGCATCCCCGGCCTGGAGGTAGTGGGCGGCCCAGTAAGTAGCAGGCTGGGCGGCCATGGGGGTAGCAGGCCGCGCGGCAGTGGCAGGCCTCGTGTCTAAAGGCCGTGCCACCCGCGCGGCCTCAGTAGGCCTCAGATCCCGGCCCCCTAGTAGTAGTAGGCCGCGTGCCAGCAGCCCCAGACACGCAGCCCCCGCGGTGCCCCGGGCCCAGGCTCCTCACCGGGCCCGGGGAGTATGATCCAGGGACAGCCTGGCAGGCGGGTGCGGCCCCCAGGGGCAGGGACCGCATGGGAGGCAGCAGGGGAGACCGCAGGGGGTGCTCCAGGGGGAGGGTAGGCCACGGGGGGTGCCCACACCGGCAGCCATACCTTCAGTAATGCTGGTAAATTGCCTCCACAGGTGCCGGCCACCATCCACGCTGCAGCAGCCCTGAGGGACGACAGGATCGCCTCGACATCCATCACCTCAAGCTGTGAAGACTAAAGGCCCAGGCAAACAGGAGCTGGAGGACAGTAAGCTGTTTGCTGGCCCGAATCCCAAGTGGCACTGAGGTAAAACCTCCCCCACACTAACTTACACAGAACATAATCCCACCCACACACACTCTTTCCCATCCAATCCCATGCATCTATCCCCACACTCCTACATGTGCCCTTGTCCGCTTAGCTGCGCTATCTCCCCAGGGCCTTAACCCTGAAAGGATCAGTGAGTGGCAAAAAAAAAGAGTGGGGTTACAAAAGTAATTTCTAGAAAGACCCCCTGCATAGTAATCCATCAGGAGATAGATAAAGAGGGTCACTACATTATACTGAGAGGAGAAATACAACATAAAATATATACAATTGTTAATGTTTATGTTCCTAACCATGCAGTGATAAACTTTATTAAGAAAGTCTTATTAAGGATCGAGAGGGTTAAACAAGGAGGGTTAATATTACTAGGAGATTGTAATTGTTTAATGGACATAACGCTAGATAGAAGATCATTCGCAGTTCTAAAACAAGACGGACAGCTCTCGAACAATTCACTTAGATTTAAAGAAATGACCAAATGTAGCAATAAGAGGTTTTGAATCGTATCAATATCAATCAAAGATTATAATATATGCAGATGACATTGTCTTGGCATTACAAAATTCTTGGGAATCCATGAAAGAACTAATGAATATAATACAAACATATTCAGATACATCAGGATATAAACTTATTTGGGAAAAATCATCTGCCCTATCTAGTAATTGCTCCCTAGATGTAAGATCAAAGTTGATAGAAAAATTGGTTTGATAGATAATAACTACATAAACTGTTTGGGAATAAACATTTGTAAAGATATATCTAAAATAACAGAAATTAATGCATTATCATTATTAAAACAGAATAACATTTTGCTGAAAGAGAAACATTATGGTCAATTATAATAAACTCCATAAAAACGTTCACTCTACCTAAGAGGTCTTACTTATTTTGAATGATTACCTTAGAATTTCTACTCCTATGGTTAGATTTAGTGAATATTGCCTTTAAAAAAATTAATTTGGTTGGGTAAGCGTCCCAGATTAAATTATAAGTGGTTAGCTCTAAAAAAAAAAATTAAGGTGGTTAAGGCTTTTCACACATTACAAATTATTATAAACGCCCAGGAGCGCCGTTAAATAAGATGAGTGGTGCATTCGGGTCTATTCTTGAGTGGTCCTCAGCCTAGGTAGGCAAATAGGGTGATAGGTAGTACCCTGGAAAGCCATGTGCCCCGAGGGGTCCTTGACATATTGATTCAATGCATCTCTATGAAGAGCTGATTCACTTGGCACAGCGCATTGTTTTGCCACACATGCACAATAGCCTTTCAATGCTTTCTTATGGGAAGGCAAAGGATTGGCTGAGATCATCAAGTTTGATGTACACCCAGCTGCTTTTCGTTTCCAGTCCTGCCCTGGGTGTATGTAGTCTTCAACAATCTCTAGGTAGGTGATTCGTGTTAAAGTATCATCCACATAAATGCCAGGTTTCCCAGCAGAATGCTGCCCCGAACATAACAGGCCTCTGCTGGCCTGCCTTCTTCTCAGAGTGATTCATGCTGTCATCTCTTCCCCAGATAAATTACACACACGCACCCAGCCACCAACCTGATCTAAAAGGAAATGTGATTCATCAGACCAGGAAACCTTCTTCCATTGTTCCATGGTCCAGTTCTGACGCTCACATCCCCATTGAAAGCACTTTCTGTAGGGGACAGTTGTCATCATGGGCACTTTGCCCAGTCTGCAACTACGTGGCAAACTGTGATGCCCTGTGTGTTCTGACACCCTTCTATCATGGCCAGCGTTAAGTTTTTCAGCAATTTGAGCTACAGTAGTTCTTCTGTGTGATCGGACCAGATAGAGCAGCTTTTGCTCCCCACATGCATTAATGAGACGTGGGCGCCCATGTCTCTGACGCCAGTTCAACAGTTGTCCTTTCTTGCATCGCTTGTAGTAGGTACTAACCACTCACAGCACTTACATTTTTTGGAGATGTTCATCACTACTAGCCATCATTACTTGGCCTTTGTCAGAATCACTCAGATTCACTCAGGGGGTTAGGGGTTGGGGTAGGGTTAGGGTAGGGATAGAGTTACCCTACTCCTAACCCTACCACAAGCCCTACCCTAACCCTACCCCTAACCCTACCCCTATCCCTACCCTAACCCTACCTATAACCCTACTCCTTTTGCAATTATGATTTTTTTTTTACATTCACTAAAATCAGTTGTACCCAATTCTTACAAATTACCTTACTAATTATGATTTACTGAATATAAAGACTTTGAAAGAATGCACACTCTTAGTTTTAAAGAATCACCTTATTTTCGGATTCAGAGTAAGCAGGTGGATTGGAACTGTTAGGTTAAAGTTCCCATTTATTGCATTTGACAGAATTCCTCCTAACAGCTAGTAAAGGCTTGTCAGGATAAAGTACCCAATGTTTGCAATCAGAGGAATTCTTCATAGATCCGTAATTGAGCTGCTTCCATAGCAGTAAATTCCTAGCTTAAACTCCCCACTTTCTTCACTTAGCAAAGTTTGTTTAGCTTCTAAGACATTTTCAGTGATTCAGAACTTTTAAATGAAAGCAGACTGTCATCTTCAATTACAAGAAACAGGAGCAAGGGTGCCCAGGCCTGTAAGTCATACATGCCAACTTTTCACAAATCTTTCCAGTGACAGTTTATAGTGAATGGTTTCATCTAAGATTTAGACCAAAAGGTTAAATGGACAAAGTCCCGACGGACAACCTGTATCCACGCGGTTTATAATTTTTGAATAATTTAAAGTGACACTATCATCTATTTTTTTTTCTGTCCAAAAATCAGTTTAAAACAATAATACAAATTGATTATAGAGTCAGGATAAGCACTATAACCACTTTGCGTCTCTTACAGTGCAGGCAATTTTAACTTGTACTTTACATTCAACATTCTGGTGGGTACAAGAAGTCTTGTCTCTAGGTGCCCAGTCCCTGCTGTTAAACCAAAGGTTATACTTGCTTTTTCGGAACCCAAAAGTGTTGTGAGGGCCGTAGTGTTGTGTTGGGGTCAAGGACTCTTTAAGTCATTGAGGTGTTGGTGTGCTTTTGGGAGCCACTTTTATCCTACTCGCCTCTTTTATCCTACTCTTAGTTTTATATTTACCAACTAATGGCTAATGGCAGAATAAGCATGTAGCATTTATTACAATCATTGGGCCTGGCGGGCAGCTGATGTCTCCACAATGTTCCTATGACATTTTTCTTGAGACCTCACCAATTCCCTTTTCTTTCCTAGGAAATCATTCCTAACTTTATCCACGAAATAGCAAATGAAAAGGTAAATATCTCAAGTTAACCACAGTGCGTGATTCAGCCAGAGACCGACTTACCCACTAGAACATTGCATCATATCTTGTGTGACTGCTGGGCGCTAGGACACAGAGTTGATGGGCCCCACCATAAACACAACACATCAGAGCCACGCGCCACTCAGATGAAGCTGATTTTAATCACATCCCCCTCTAGGCTTCTCCCAACCAACTAATTCCTCTTTATTTGCTGCTCTGCAGACAGTACAAGTCAGAGTACCACTGCCTCCTGTTAATTTGGGTAGTTGTGGGATATATACTTTTACTTGTATTTGATCTTATGATTTGTTTTTAAGATTTGATTTGATTGTATGATTTAATTTTCATGCTTTGATTGTATTATTTAATTGTATGATTTAAATTCCATGATTCAATTGTATGATTTGATTTTCACGATTTGATGTGTGTGTTGATTTTGGGATTTTATTTATGAGGTGAAGTCATCTATTGTGCCTTTTGCGGGTGTTTTCTTCTTGCCTGCTCTTTCTACCTCCCCGTTTTCTGTGGGGTCTGTATGGGTGCCTCCCTCCACCCTTCTCCCTCTATTTTTCCCTGCTCTCCTTGCGGGCATTTTGCTTTTGTTTTCTTTCGGTTCTTTCTGACTTCCTTCTGTTTTCTTCCTGTTTTCCTTCTGTTTTCCTAGCAGCCGCCGGGACCACGGAAAACGACTCCGGCAGTCCCACGTGGGTATCTCGCGTGCTGCTCTCATGGCGCGCGGGAACTGCCCCTCCGCCTGTCTCCCGCTGGGAAGAGCGTTATCTACACAGTAGAATGCTATGTACAACTACACAGTAGAATGTTGTGTACAGTTACACAGAAGAATGCTATGTACAGTTACACAGAAGAATGCTATGTGCAGTTGCACAGAAGAATGTTATGTACAGTTACACAGAAGCATGCTATGTACAGTTACACAGTAGAATGCTATGTGCAGTTACACAGTAGTATGCTGAGTACAGTTACACAGTAGCAGGGCCGCCATCAGGGGGTGACAACCGTGACAGCTCTGGCAGTCCCGGGCCCCACTTTCCCTTTCTGCACACATAGATAGCGAATATCTCTATCTATGTGTGCAGCCGCGGGCCCCCGGCTCCCTGTTACCGTCCGCAGAGGAGGCCAAGGCAGCACACAGCTTCTCCTCCTGTCTTCTCTCTTCTCATAACTCTTGCGAGACCCGGTTACCATGGCAACGCTCCGCGGGTCTCGCGAGAGTTATTAGAAGAGGAGAAGACAGGAGGAGAAGCTGTGTGCTGCCTGGGCCTCCTCTGCGGACGGTAACAGGGAGCTGGGGGGCCCCATGCCACCGGGCCACCACAGATGGAATCTCTCCCCTCCCTGGATACAGGTAAGCAGGGAGGGGGGAGAAACATTTAATTAAATTAATTAAAAATTAATGTTAAAATGCCCCTTCCTCCCCCTCCCCCCCAGATTGCACATTTACACAACACACACACTGCATACACTAACACAACACACACACACACTGCATACACTAACACAACACACACACTGCATACACTAACACAACACACACACTGCATACACTAATACAACACACACACTGCATACACTAACACAACACACACTGCATACACTAATACAACACACGCACTGCATACAGTAACACAACACATACTGCATTCACTAACACAACACACACACTGCATACACTAACACAACACACACACTGCATACACTAACAAAACACACACACTGCATACACTAACACAACACACACTCTGCATACACTAACAAAACACACACTCTGCATACACTAATACAACACACACGCTGCATACACTAACACACACACTGCATACACTAATACAACATACACTCTGTATACACTACACACTAACACACTCACTGCATCCACTATACTGACACACACTCTGTTTCGCTACACATTAACACACTCTGCATTCACTACACTAAGACACACTCTGCATCTGCTACACATTAACACACACTCTGCATCCGCTACACATTAACACACACTCTGCATCCGCCACACACTAACACGCTCTCTGCATTCACTACACTAACACACACTCTGCATCCGCTACACACTAACACACACTCTGCATTTACTACACTAACACATATTCTGCATCCGCTACACACTAACACACTCTCTGCATTCACTACACTAACTCACACACTCTGCATCTGCTACACACTAACACACTCTCTGCATTCACTACACTAACTCACACACTCTGCATCCGCTACACACTAACACACTCTCTGCATTCGCTACACATTAACACACTCTCTGCATTCACTACACTAACACACACTCTGCATCCGCTACACACTAACTCTCTGCATTCACTACACATTAACACATTCTGCATTCACTACACTAACACACACTCTGCATTCACTACAAATTTACGCACACTCTGCATTCACTGCACTAACACACACACACTACATTCATTACACTGACACTCTGCATTCACCACACACTAACACACACTCTGCATACACTAACACACACTCTGCATACACTAACACACACTCTGCATACACTAACACAACACACACTGCATACACTAACACACACACTGCACACACTAACACAACACACACTGCATACACTAACACAACACACACTGCATACACTAACACAACACACACACACTGCATACACTAACACAACACACACACACTGCATACACTAACACAACACACACTGCACACACTAACACAACACACACTGCATACACTAACACAACACACACATACTGCATACACTAACACAACACACACTGCATACACTAACACAACACACACTGCATACACTAACACAACACACACACTACATACACTAACCCACACACTGCATACACTAACACAACACAACACACACTGCATACACTAACACAACACACACACACACACTGCATACACTAACACAACACACACACACACTGCATACACCAACACAACACACACACTGCACACACTAACACAACACACACTGCACACACTAACACAACACACACTGCACACACTAACACAACACACACTGCATACACTAACACAACACACACACTGCATACACTAACACAACACACACTGCATACACTAACACAACACACACACTGCATACACTAACACAACACACACTGCATACACTAACACAACACACACACACACTGCATACACAACACACACACACACTGCATACACTAACACAACACACACACACTGCATACACTAACAAAACACACACTCTGCATACACTAATACAACACACACGCTGCATACACTAACACACACACTGCATACACTAATACAACATACACTCTGTATACACTACACACTAACACACTCACTGCATCCACTATACTGACACACACTCTGTTTCGCTACACATTAACACACTCTGCATTCACTACACTAAGACACACTCTGCATCCGCTACACTAACACACACTCTGCATCCGCTACACATTAACACACACTATGCATCCGCCACACACTAACACACTCTCTGCATTCACTACACTAACACACACTCTGCATCCGCTACACACTAACACACACTCTGCATTTACTACACTAACACATACTCTGCATCCGCTACACACTAACACACTCTCTGCATTCACTACACTAACTCACACACTCTGCATCTGCTACACACTAACACACTCTCTGCATTCACTACACTAACACACACTCTGCATCCGCTACACACTAACACACTCTCTGCATTCACTACACATTAACACACTCTCTGCATTCACTACACTAACACACACTCTGCATCCGCTACACACTAACACACTCTCTGCATTCACTACACATTAACACATTCTGCATTCACTACACATTAACACATTCTGCATTCACTACACTAACACACACTCTGCATTCACTACACATTAACACACACTCTGCATTCACTGCACTAACACACACACTACATTCATTACACTGACACACTCTGCATTCACTACACACTAACACACACTCTGCATTCACTAAACTATGCATACACTCTGGATTTACTATACTGACACACACTCTGCATTCACTACACTAACATACACTCTGCATTAACTGTACACACAGCATCCACTACACAAACATCCTGTATTCACAGTACACACACTACATCCACCACACATTGAAACACTCTGCATTCACTATACACAGACACTGCGTCTAATACATGCACTACATCCACTACAGACACTGCACCCACTAAACACATTTCAACTAGTACATACAAACACTACATCCACTACACAAACACACACTACATCACTGTACACACAGTATATCCACTACTCAAACACACTCTGCGTTCACTATACACACTGCATCCGCTACACAAAAACACACTCTGCATTCA